TGCAATAGTGACAATAGTGGCATTATTCAGCTCAATTAAAGTTCAACTGTGTAAATTATGAAATTAATTCATTTCAGCTACAAGTAGCTCTACAGCAGACAACAGTGTCAATACTCAGCTCAAGTCAGATTAATGTTGATTTAATCCAGTTTAATAGCAGTGTCAATTTAGCAAAATTCATTTATGAAATGAATTTGCTCTACAGGAGGCAACAGTGTCATTATTCAGATCAATTCAGTTCAAAGTTCATTCAAATCAGTTCAAAAACTGTGTCAATGTTGCAAAATTCAACAATTATGCAATGAATTCGATTCAGCATTAAAGTATCTCTACAAAAGACAACAGTATTATTTTCAGCTCAATTCAGTTCAATGTTGATTCAATCCAGTTCAATAAGTGTCGATGCTGCATATTATCAATTAAGAAATGAATTCGATTCAGTCATTATTCAACTCAGTTCTGTTCTAAGTTGATTCAATCCTCCAGCTGAATAACTGTTAAATGTTGCAAAATTCAACAATTATAAAATTATTTTGATTCAGTCATTATTCAACTCAATTCAGTTTAATAACCGTGTCAATGTTAAAAAATGTATCAATTATGAAACAAATTTGCTCTACAGAAGACAAAATTATCATTATTCAGCTCAATTCGGTTCACTGTTTATTCAATTAAGTTCAATAACAGTGTTGATGTTGCAAAGTTTATCAATTATGACATGAATTCGATTCAGTCATTATTCAACTCAATTCAGTTCAAAGTTGATTCAATCCAGCTCAAATAAATGTTGCAAAATTCAACAATTACGAAATGAATTCGATTCTGCTTTAAAGCAGCTCTATAGAAGACAATGATGTCATTATTTAGCTCAATTCAGTTTTGTTCTCATCAGTGCAGTCAAATTGATAATATTGCTGAATATTAAGTGTCTCCAGCTAAGCAAGCCAAAGGTGACAGTGGCAAAGAACCCAAAATCCATCAGGTGACAAAAACTGGCCTAAATGAACAAAACGCACTTCAGGCTGCACAGTTCAAATTTTGCATCCAGCTCCTTCTGTGTGAAGTGGTCGAGTCATGATGGAAAAGGAGATCTGTTGACAGACAGGTCGGTCACTTCAGCAGCGGCATGCTTGTGAAGTAGCCGCACTTGTGCCGGGCTTCACTAATGGACTGCTAATAGAACCCAAAGCTGCACTTTGATGCTTCCCCTGTAGTTTACAGGGTGACAGCTGTGTGATTAATTGCACTCACTCCACTCCCCGGCCACTTTTTCTCTTTTTTGCAACGAATAGAGGCTGTCATTGCCGTGACTTTGCTCACTCACCTACCTGCGCAGCTGGATACGGCGCGATTCGCCATAGACAATGCCGAGCGCATACTGTAATACATCTTTTCCACAACCGGCATGCTACATGACATCAGGAGAAAAGAGTTGCAACCTCAGCACGCCTTTCACAGCAATTATCACGAAAAAATATCCTCAGCACGGGGGAAGGCCAACAAACAGCATGTAGTGCTGACGCCCACAAGGCGACCAAGAAGGAGTTTCTGATGACACCGTTTGACTCGACCTTTATCTTCACCAGCATGTGACCGCATTAAGTCTCATTTTCTCTTTCAAACTTAAAAAACGGGTTAATCATGAGGGAATTATGATACACTGTGGTGCTAGGTCATAGTATAGTAGCCGTTCGGTGCACAATAAAGCCTTTGTGTTTCCAAACATACTTGGAGAACGACCATGATGGCTGTAACCTTAGTAGAGCCCTTGAGACCCGACCGTTAGGCAATGAGGGGAGCGGTTAGAGTAATGATGATCGCAATAACATTCTCATTTTTACACCTACCAGAGCTGCACGTGTGTGTCTTTTTGAGGTTGCAAAATATTTTCTTAAAATAAAAGCACCCCCGTCCATAAACAAAGCTCAGAGGATGCATAACATGCAGAGTGAGAGGACAGATGTGGAAAAAGTGAACTCGGGCTTTGACGCACTCAGCGGGTTTGCTTCGTTTTTTAAAACGGTAATTACACATATAAGACAGCAAACAAGGCACCTTTGTTTCACAAAAAAAAACAAACAAACAAACAAAAAAAAGAGCACTGCATATGGAACCGACGGCATACAAAAAGCAGAAAAAGCGTGCAACCTACATTAAAGCAAATGCTTACAAGAATGGATTATGCACATTTGGGATCTTCACCTTTCATCAGCAAAGGATCTGCATATTCAAACAGACAGCCGGTCTACTTCAGCCTCCAAACCCACACGGCCCTCTGCCGTTAAAGCGGATGACAAGATCGTCTCCTGTCGAAGCATTGTCAAGGGTCGCACAGTGCTGTTTTTTATCCCCCTCACTCTCTCTTGACTTTCCCGGTCGCCTCTTATTCATATTCAGGAGACGGGAGACACTTGTGGTGGAGATGTCAGTGATTATACTGTACTTGATACAGGCACTCCTTTTCTCTCTATTGCTCTCTCCTCCATTTCCAGGGCCAAGAGAACACTGGGACGAATGGGAATTCACACACTTAATTAAAACAAGTGTATCGACAGTGAAAAATAGGGGGATCAGGAGAAGAATGGAGTGTGAGGGAATTTTTTCCATGCAGAATAGCCGTAACTGCTTAAATAACCAGGCAGTTCTTCAAGCTCAAAAAGATCCCCATGTGAACCGGAAACATGTAGCTCATTAGTATCCAAAAACCTACCGGCCATTAATTAGTCGCAAACAATGTTCTCCCTAAATATCGACTTCTTAATGGACACAAAGAGACTTGGCTCCATTACAGTCAATGGCATTGGCCTCTGAGGGCTTTAGGAATCAGCTTTATGTCATCCTGCGATGCCCTTCAGACACTGGAGCGGGATAGTTTTTCCTCAACCTTTCCTTGTTTCTCATTAACTATGCACAATTGTCGAGGGAGGTTTTGCTAGACTGGATTGGGTTTCTAAAAATCCGATTCCTGGCAATTTTGGAGCCTGAAGCACACAACACCTACAAACATCACTTAAAAGTAGCTTTTAAATAAAGTAACATAGCATATAATCTAGAATAGTACAAACATCACTTTATATTTAACATTTGGCAAAAGCAACTCACATTGCATACTTTTTTTTTCAGTGCAAGCATTCCCTGGGAATCGAACCCATGACCTTATCATTGCTCTTCTGTTTGAGCTACATGAATCATTAAAGAGTATTTTTAAATAATAAAGTAATATAGTATGTAATCTAGAATGGTACAAACATGACTTGGCACATGTTTTTATCGATGCATCTTATACATTGCATTCAAGCTTTGCTTTTTCTTCAATGCACACGTATTCCCTGGGAATCAAACCTATGCCCTTGCCGTTGCTCTACTGTTTAAGCCGCAAGAATCTTTTTTTTAAAGTAGCTTTTAAATAATACAGTAATATAGTACATAATCTAGAATAGTATTGTAACAAGTTCCACACCTTTTGCCAGTGATCTCCACAAAATACGAGATCAGCAGAATCCAGTACACTACAGCTGCATGTAAACCACTGAGGGAGGGTTGAAGTCAATGTCAAACGTGGCTCAGAGGAGCTTCACAAACCTTGTGATAGGGAGGAGGTCTTTGTGTCATCTCTCTGTGTCAAGAACATGGCTGCCGGTTTACTTACACAACAATTATTCAGCTAAATCCTTTTAATGGAGTCCCACACTCACTTCACAGAACGGACACGTTCAAGAAAGCAAACGGCATCAGCTCTGGAGTATCTGAGATATGCCACAAACACAAACCTGAAAGCATCTTCAGCGTAGAGAAAGCACTTTTAACTCACAATGTTGTGCCCAGAGGAAAACTCATTTAATTAGTTCATTATAACGCAATCAAAGCACGCAGCAGAAGTACTCAATAACAAAATAATCTAAATATTTACTTTGCTATTCATAATTGATACAAATAGAAACTGGGAATTTGGGTAAATTATCAGACTTTTAATAAATGTAAAATGCCAGCAGCACATCCACTTCTCACAGAATGAGGCCATGAGTGATATTTTATGGTTTCAAGTAACACATTTGGTCCTGTTTCTCAAAATATTCACAAAGGAATGTTGGCACTTTGTAATTAGGATAATAAAATGATCTATAATTTATATAAGTTGATGGTTTAAGCATGCATTATTTTCTGTATATATATATATATATATAATAACAACATAAACAATAAAAAGCTAAGATAATAAATAAAATAAAAAAAGCTAATAAAAAGCTAACAATAAAAAGCTAAGATTTACAGCAAAAGAAAAGGGTTTGAAAAACAACTCCGATCAAATACTCTTATCCAATAAAGCCAGAAAACTGTCCTGTAACAAGATTTCAGCATTCATAACAAGACTAGAGATATTAAGAAGCGCGATGAGACTTCAGAAAGGGAACAGATCCGTCTGGAACAAACAAGCACGTTTCTAAAGCTCATTTCTAGCGTCCAGAAACACAGCAGCACAAAACAAAGTTTTCTCAAGTAATGACCTCATGCCTAAAACTAAGGCCAAATGACAATAATTCACATATGCGATAAACAATGCAAAGTGATTTAATCAACTGTACTGTACAACAACACTGGCTCAAATGTAACAAACACGTTCTTATTCTCAACGACAAACAACAACACTGCAACAAAAATAACAATAACAGCCATTGGTAGGCTAGTTAAATATATAAACAAATCCGATCCGAATTCGACCACACAAAAAACACAGAATTTACAAACATAAGAAACAAAAACCACAAACTTAATTTTAAACCCATCAAATTTGACTAGTAATCCAAGCAAATATAGAGTTTAATCAATTCCCATTTAGACTTATTAGCAATATTTACTGAAGTACGCCGTATAGATATCTGCATAAAGCTGGATCGGCTTGACAACTTTTCCTAATTTAACGAAACTTTATTTCGCTCATTCAGCAAAACCGATGGAGCTTCACCTGCCGTACTTTATTGTATATTAAAAGGTTTTCTTACCTTGAGCCGAACCGGTGTTGACGAGCGATAAAATAGTACAAACTAGCACAGTTATCATCTGCGCTAAGTATCCCGATCCGCCTCGTTCTCTTCTCGCAGTCTTTTTACTTCTTCCCATCATACAAACAGCCGAAACCAGGCAGAAATCCGCCAATCAGGTGAAATAACAATCAGAGGAACCTCTGGAGATGTTTGTTTATAATAAAGCCCGTGGCGGAGAGATTAGCATTCGCGGAATGAAATCCGTTGGTTTTTACGTTACCTCAGTGCGCTCTTCTGACTGACAGCGCGCGTCAAACGCAAATGTTTAGGATTAAATATCCTCTTCGGAGAGGTTTTTCTCTCAAGGCTTCGCGAAACGCCGTGGTTCAGGTGTAAGCAGGTAAATCAGCGCTCCTGAGGTGAGTTCATGTTCGGCGTCTGTCAGTGAAATTGCTCCCGCGCGAGCTCCCCGCCTTCTGAGGAGAGTTGGAGAGGCGCGCGAACCCCGCGCGAGCCGCCGGGGCTCCAGCCAATCCGGATGCGCTCCGACTTCAGTGTGAAGAAAACCAATCGGATGTCCGCCTGTAACCGGGTGTGTTATCAAAATGAGCTTTAATGCGATGCTGAGGAGCTGGTGGTCTTTTCACTCTTTCTTTTATGATCCGTTCCCGCCCGTAATCTCGGCGCATAGTCTGAGACACTTTAGAATGGGTAGGAGGAGGGTATATCGTGTACGATGGATTTATTTATTTATTTTGCAAATATGGCGAAAACAATTTGCCATTGTAGGAATTTACTTTCAATGCTATTTTCACGTCAATTTAGATATTCTGTTATTCTGTTTCTTTTTAGGGTCATTTTCTGCTCATAATTCTACCCTAATTTCAACAAATATTCCTAATGAAATACTGTAGATTGAGGGGGAAATATATATATAAAGGCTAATACATTAAAGGGGTCATATGATGCGATTTCAAGTTTTCCTTTCTCTTTGGAGTGTTACAAGCTCTTGGTGCATAAAGAAGATCTGTAAAGTTGCAAAGACTAAAGTCTCAAATCCAAAGAGATATTCTTTATAAAAGTTAAGAGTCAGCCACACCTACCTAAAACGGCTCGTTCTAACACGCCCCCACATGTCTACGTCACTGTGTGGGAAGATCTGCATAACGCCGCCCAAATGTTCACACAAAGAAAGAAGGCGTAACTTTTATTCTCGCTGTAGTATTGTTGTGAAAGCGCCGCCATGTCGTGAAGGCGCTGTGTTTCCTTGTGAAAGCGAAACTACTTTGTTTGGTCTTCCAAAAGAGGATGGTATCCGCTTCATCATGCCTGGAGCTGATCCGTGCTGGTCGCTGAGGAAATACATCAACTTCGC